CCTCGGAGGCCCTGGGGCTGGGCATCGCGGAGCCCCTCCTCCCCCCGGGGAAACCATGGGGCAGGACGCCCCCCGGTCACAGAGGTGAGACTCACAATGTTTCGCCTTCCCGCAGCAACGGCGGCCCTGTGGCATGGGGGTCGAGACCGTCTCGCGAGCTGCCTCGCTCGGTCTCGCCGCGGGCCCCATCGGGGGCTTTCCAAAGGACCCGCCGCCATACATGTGCCCTGGCCACAGGCCGTCACACCGGCCTTCGAGTGCATGCCCAGCAGCGCACTTGCCCCTGCCCTGGCGACGGGACCATGCAAGGCCTTTCGGCCGGGAGCCCCGTGAACCGGTGATGCTGGCATGCGCCGGCGCGGCGGCAGCACTCGGCCCAGTCGTCCGCGTGACAAGAGGGCGCGCCCAGAGACCTTCGCCAGATGCCCACCCCTCCGCCGACACCAAGATGGCCTCGCCCCCCCCCCCTGCTCCAAGGCCCAAACACTCGGCCGATGAATCCCCACGTCAGCATCAATCACCGGGGTTCACACTCGATCCATCAGCCAACACCGGCGGCCAGATGCCCGGCCTCCATTGGCCAGGGAACCAACAAACAATTTGATGTATCTGGCCTGGACACGTGTATGGTCTCTCGTACAACCTCGCACACCACTCCGGGGGAGGTAGGGGACCGAGGCGAGAAGAGGCCTCCTCGGAGGAGGGCAATGTCGACGGGCCCTCGGGATTGAGGTCTGGACACGGGACACACAAGATGGCGCTGGCCACTGGAGTGCTGGAAATCGGCTTCCCCCGGCCCTCTCCGGGCTCGCACGGCCAGGGTGGGCACCCCTGCAAAGGAGGGGCAGAGAAATCCATCGAGCCGGGCCCCGGTCTGACGTCTGCCAGATGTTCCTCAGCCAGGAGATGGATCCCCGGACAGCAGGACAAAAAGGCGCCCGGTCCGCCCTTCAATCGGCGAGAAGGCAGACCTGAGTCGCCTTTTGGTCCCGGAGGAGGGGCCACGACCTGGGCGCGAGACCCGGCCTCGGGGGGTGGGGGCGGATACCCGGATCTTCCGCGGAGGGCCGCACTCCGAATGCCTCTAGGCCAGGCCCGGACAGTACTCCGGGTCATCCTGATCCCGGCGGCACGCCCCCGATGCCTGGGGGCTTTGGCCTGCCTGAGGGCGACCGGCAGCGGGCTTGCTGGTGGGCTTGCCGGCGGCCGTCCCCGGCAGACGGCCCGGGTGCTTCAGCGAGCGGGGCTCGCCCTCAGCCGCGGGGGCTGTCCGCTGCGCTGGATCCTGTCCGAGCGGGTGCTGGATATGCTGTTGCTGCTGCTGCTGCCCCTGGGGCTGCTTTTGCTGCTTGGGAGACTCCTGAGTACCATGGCTCTTGTTCATGGTGACGTACAAAGATGGGAGGAGGGTGCTGTCTTTGCGCGAGAGGAGGCACACGAAGAAAGGCACGGTGACGGAGTCAGTCCGAGCGAGGAGGAAAGCAGGCGACAAGGAAGCCATTCACCGAGCCACCCCGCACCCGGGGCAAGGTTCAGGCGCGGCGAAGGATCAGAGCAGGGCTCGCGAAGCAAGGCGCGCCGAGAGGGTGCGCAGAAAGCAGCCCAGAAATCTGCCACTGCCTCCCTGTAAAAAAGCGCGGCGCAACGAGCTTGGCGGGACGCTGCTGCACGCAGGTGCCAGGGAGGGACTCGTGGCAGGCCAAGCGACAAGCGCGTGAAGAAGGGTGGCGGGAGCGCACGAGGAAAAAAAAATGCCGGGGAATTTTTGTCAATCTAAAGGATGCACGGCCTCCTCGGGTCCGGGCTAGGCAGGCTGCCCTTTATATCCACCGACGCCACCCTCATCAAACCCATCCGGCAGGGGTTGTCCCCGCGCGCACGGGGAGGGGGAGGGGGGGCCGGCGGAGGCGGAAAGTATCGCGTGCTGGCCGGTGGCCGACCCATTTCCCCGAGCCCCTCTCGTGGGTGCGGCTCGTGCTCCTCCAGGCAGCTTGGCAGACCGGTGGCCAGTTCCCCCCGCGCGTGCCCCGGGGAACTGTCGCCCCTTCGGCGCAGGCTTCGACTCGGTATAGGGAGGAGACACCCGTCCACACAAATACACGGCCCCTGGGGAAGCAGGGACATCCAGATGCTCGCAAGTGCGTCTGCATCGGCCGGGCAGCGGGGCCCCTCGCGGGATTGATGTCCCTCGAGGAAGGGGGCCCGAACCGGGGACATGACAAAATAACATGCGACTTGGCGCGACTTTGAGGCACAATAATACACACGGGGTCCCCATCTGTCGGACACTGCGAGCCCCATAACCGGCCGCCTGATCGCTGCTCCGGGACTTGCTTCAATGGACCCCGAAGCCCGGCGGACATCACCCATTGCGAGGTCCTTCCGAAAGCCCGACGATGGGAGGGGAGACGAATGTAAGTTGCCTCTACCGCGGGTAATCGGTCACTGCGGGCCTTGGCAGGATCTTGGGCGGTTCGCTTTGTGCGCCGCCAGCAACACGGACACGGGCCGAAAGGTTAAAAGTGCGCCCGAGCCAGGACGAGGAAGAGAGAGAGAGAGAGAGAGAGAGAGAGAGAGAGAGAGAGAGAGAGAGAGTGGTAGACCAGAGCACGGGGGCCTAGTTGCCGTGGGGTACAGTAAGAGGGACTGGAAGAACCTGGACAGTGAGGACGATTAACTGATCAGAGGATAGTTAACCCGTGTACCGCACGAGCCGACTGGGAATCTGGTGGCGTCAACTCGGCTCTTGGTAAGGAACATTTTGTAACAATATCACGTGTAATGTGGCGTAATGTAGCAGGGTTCACACGGGTTAAGCCTAAGTCAAGTGAGTGAGGCTTGACGAAGGGTACCAGTGTGATCTGCCACC